TCTCGTTCTATCCCCTGTAGGAGCCCAGCAGCGTCCACAGGCAATGTCCCCATTTCGCAGACGAGTACACGGAGAGAGAGAGACTCGGGTACACATGACCACTCCGAATCGGGATCCAACGCACTTTGCCTCGCTTCCAACCACAGAACAGGGCCCTCCAGTCGCCCCTGCCCCAAATCTCACCCCTTACCCATCCCTAGGGACTGCTTCTTCCAAGAAGTCTTCCCAGATCTCAGGGGGCCTCCACTCAGAGGGACTGTTCTTTACTCCAACACTCATAAAGCAGATTGAACCTCTACCCTCAGACTAGGGCTCCCGGGAGTTAAGGCTCTATCCCCTCCAGCCAGGGGACTGATGGCATAGTCTCTCTTCTCCTCTAAGACTAGGGACTCCCTGAGGACAGGGCCACGACACTCTCCTTCCTACAGACGAGGAAGTAATGAAGGTAAGACTCCCACCTCCCTCTTCCCGCACCTCCACCCACGCAGACCCCCACCCAGAGTAGAAGACTCTGCCCCAATGGTACAGGTGGGACCCCTCCTCCTCTCTCTCCCTCCTGGCCCCCCTCCAGGCCTGGCCCGTACCAGGCAGCCCACTCCCCGCCCCCGGGCCCTGTCTATGAATCCCACCTCTGTTGGGTACCACAGACCCCCCTTTCTCCTCCCCAAACAAATGGGGTCTTGAGCGAGTCACTGGGACAGCACACAAGGCCAGATCTATTCCCTGGGCTTGTCATTGCCAGCAGGGGGCGGGGGGGGGGCGGGGGCAGACTGGCTGGGGAGAGCAGGCTGTTCATGCCACAGCCCCTTGAGGTCCTGCCTCCAAATCGGGGGCCAGGGCTCTCAAAGCTCCATCCTGGTGGGGCTGGGGTCAACAGCCCACACCCCCGGGTAACCCTAGAGCAGATCAACTCCAAGCACCTCCATCATCCCTCCCCTGAGCTGATATAGCGCAGGCAGGAGCCTCTGCACCGAGGTCCAAACCCCTGCTCCGCACCCTATGGAGAATTTCCCCAAACCTGAGTTAGGTCATCTGTAAAATGGGCATAATCATCTCCGCCTGGGCTGTGGCTGTGAGTAGGGATACAGACAGAACATCCCTGGCTAATAGTAAGTGCTTGAAGAAAACCAGTGTTCTTCTTTCTTTGGTTTTCTCTTTTTTTGGAGGGGGGGGAGGGGCGGGGGGGGATCCCAGGCCATCAGGGCAGAAAAGTGGCCTTTTCCAAGCACCTTAAATGTCTCCTATTCAGAAGTCAAAGGCTCAGATCCCCCACGCATGAGCAGTGAGGCCTCCCAGGACTGGGGTAATTGAACAGAGGCTGTTTTTCTACCCTGGGGAGAGGCCCTTGGAGTCAAGCCTGCAAATCGCAGCTCAAAGCCCCCAGCCTCCCGGAAGCCTGCCTAGCTCAGCCAACGCATCATCCCCACTTTACAGGCAAGTAAACTGAGACACAGAGCGGTTAAGTAATTCGCCTAAGGTCACGCAGCTGGTGAGCAGCTGACCCGACCTGATTGCTTTGGACAATTCGGGCTGCTACCAAAACTCTTCCTTACGGCAGGAGCCTTCCCTACATAAGAGGCTTTCTGTGATTTTTTTTCTTTCTTTTTTTCTTTTTTTTTTTTGCCTCTGCATTCAGAGCGAAGCCCACACTCTCTAGCTTGAAAGGTCAGGCCCCCAGCAAGGTAGCAGAAAAAGCACTTGACCTGGAGTCAGCCCGATCCGGGGTCAGATCTACACCTACTGTGTATCCACAGCCGGTTTACCAGGCGTCCCCAGCCTCCCTTTCCTTGGGGGGAAAATGGGAATGACGAGACAGGCATCCGAGGGCGGCTGCAGGGTTACCCGTCCGGGCATTCACCACGTGTTTATTGAACATATACTTTGTGCCAGGCCCCATTCGAGGCCCTTGGGATAACGCAGGGAACAAGACAGAAAAAGCCCCTGCCCTCGTGAGCGGACACCACGGGGGAGAGGAAGGGTAGATAATAAATAGACAAATAAGCAAATTAGCATCTGGTTGTATTAGGGGCTAAAGGAAACCAAAAGAGGGAAGAAGCCCAGAGCCACAAACAGAGTGGTCGGGGGGGGGGGGGGGGGCGCGACACTGAACCGGAAACGACAGCCCTGTACCCAGCCTGGAGGGCAGCAGTGAGCCCAGAAGGAAAGGCAACTCCTTCGAAGAAAAGAACAGCCAAGCGCAAAGGCCGAGGAACTCAGGAAGACCCGGAGCCCCAGGGGAAGCAAGGAGCACAAGGCAGAAGCTCAGGAAAGAGCAGCCGTTGGTGTGGCCGCTATAAGCCCCGCGAGCCCCTTGGGCCTCGTTTCCGTCTTCTGGAAAACGGCCTGCTGTGCAGATTCAAGGCAAGCCCGTCTCTCCCACACATCTGAATTCCTTTTTATTCCTCCCATCGTGCAGGTGGGGAAATCGAGGCTCCCGAGACCCCACAGCCCATAAATGGCATCGTGGGGATGTGACCCGAGGTCCGGTGATCCCAGACCCTCTGTCCTGCCAGCCTCCTGCGGCCTCACTGGTGCCTCTCGCCCTGGAGACGAGACCGCTCTGACCGTTAGAAAGTCTCTTGGGAGGAACTGGGGCCGTCGGTGCCTCCACGCCCCCTCCCCGCTCCCCGCGGGTCACCTGAACTAAGGAGAGAGCTGAGGCCCCACAGGGCAAGAAACGTGCCCAGGGCCACCCACCTCGAAAGTGGCAGAGGACCTGAACTCGGGTCTTTGCCACGCAGACAGTCATCCCGTCCGTCGCCCTCCACATCCCCCAAATGTCCCTCTCTGGACATCCTTCTCCATCCGCTGCCTGGCCTGTCCCCTGGTGGCGGGAAAGACTGTCCCTGAATCTGCTCTTCCCGGGACGCGACCACACCGGCCACCGCTCGCCTGAGACGCTGTGCCCCAGGCCAGGGCTGGCTGAGCAGGCTCAGGACACCCGCGCCCTGTGAAGGAAGCCAGGAGGCGGGGGACTCAGAGGAGCGCGCACACAGGCCCCTGGGGCAAACGGGCAGGTAGCACAGGACTGGGAGCCGCACCTGGTCCCGGGCTGGCTCAGCAACCAAGGTGCTGCGTGAGGGTCAGGGGGCCCTTCTCCTCTCCAGCCCCCACCACGTCAGTTCATCGCCTCCGCCGCTCGAGGGTCATGGCGAAGGGCACAGGGAGGCAGGTCTCCGGTGAGAAGTCACCTCTGTCCTTGCCGGGCACGTCAGAAAATCGTTTTTAGATCATTTTTAAAAGACGTTATGACGACGGTCATAACTTCCTGAGGGTCTACTGTGTGCCGCGAACCACACCGGGGCGTCACCTACGTTACCCCAAGCAGCACCAATCCCAAGATGCGTGCGCGCCGCCTCCGGTTTACAGAGAGGGAAACTGAGGCACGGGACCATTCGGCTGCGGGTGCCAGAGTCGGGAGGCAGACCCAGGACTCTCCTGTTCCATGCCGCTTCCGACTCCAACTATTTAAGTGAAAGGTTTGCTTCGGAGGAATCCCCGGGGTCGGAGGGAAGAGAGACAAGCGTGGGTGAGGTATTCACGGAGGGACAGGTTCCCAGGGGAGGAGTCAGGTCAAGTGAGCTGCACGTCTGGGGACACAGGTGCCCGGGAGGGGGGGGGGGGGTCAAATCCCAGCCCCAGCGCACACCTGCTGTGTGACCTTGGGCAAGTTACTTGCCCTATCTGATACCTGAAAGGCAGGTAGCAATGCCAGGTATCCCAGAGCACGGCAAACGTGACCAGTGGGGACAAAGTCACTGGGGGACAAGGAGGAAACACGCATCCGGATGAGGGACGTGTATGCTCAAAGGCCCAGGGGAGGAAGAAGGCTCGAGGAAGACAGAGGCGGGAGAACGTGGCCACAGAAGTGGGGGGGAAGGACAGGCGAGAGAGGGGGTCTCCAGGCAGGCCACATGGACAGGCAGGGTGAGCCACAGAAGGGAAGGGCACCCCTCAGACCCCCCGCCCCACTGCGTTTGGCTCCCCCGCGAAGAACCCCGCTTCGGCCCAAGTCCACGGCAGCAGCCCCTCCCTCGCCGCACCCCCACCGTCCCCCAGGGAGCCCCCACCACCCCGCTCCCTCCCCGCCGGGCCCCTCCAGAGCACCCATCGCGGGGGGGCCGTCCCCGGGGCCCGCAACACCTCGGCGGCCACGGCCCCTCCACGTGGGGACCACCCCGTCCTAGAGACGGCATCTCCCTCTCCTTAGCAACCACCAACACCGTGCCCAGACAGCCAGCCTCCTCCCTCTGTCTCCTCCTCTCTCCATGGAGACCACAATGCCACAGAGGCGGCTCCCTCGCCAAGGCAACCACCATCACTCAGCACCACCCGGACCACAGCTCTCTCCACGTGGCCACCACCAACACAGCCGCGGTGACAGTGAAGCCTCTCCTCTCCAGGGCGGCCACCAGCCCCAGCCAAGACGGAGCAGCTCCTGCCTGCGGCCTCCTACTGTCTGACTGCTTTCCCTGCGGCCTCCAAAATCCCAGACGCTGGATCAGGCCCGGGATTGGTTCTGCCCCGCGTTTCTCTGCTCCTGGCTCCCTCCAGGCCCCTCGGTCTGCCCCTCTGGACAGTGGGAAGGCCCCCCCACCGGAGGGAGGAGAAGAGACCACGTTCTCTTACCCCTGGAAGCTGGCCCCCAGCCCAGCCCTTGCACAGATTCCCCTGCCCTGCCAGGGTGCAGGCGGGCCCGGCCGGGCCTCTCAGTTGGGCGAAGGGGCAGGGGTGGGGCTTCCTCCCACCCTCCACGGTGGACCTGTCCCAACCCCCCCAAAGGCCTGCGGCTCCGCCAGCTGCCTCCCAGGCCCCGTGGAAGGGAAGCTGGGGAGGGGCGGGTGGGGGTGCCCACGGCCCGGGGGCGGGAGCCCGGCAGGGCAGGAGGGGACAAACAGGAGACAGGCCGGACCACATCACTGTTCGCGACGCCGGGTCACCCGCGCCCTGCTCGCACACAGCCACGCGCTGGCACACAGTCAGAAGGACCCTGTCCTTACCGATGTCTGCGGGCAAAGGGGGCCCCTCCGGCCAGCGAGGCTCTATCCCTGGCCTGGTCTCAGGGAAGTCCCCACGGCAGCAGTGGCCACAGCAGCAGTAGCAACGGAGTCTCGGGTCCCGGGTCCCGGTCCAGGCGACAGCAGCTTCTCACCCGGGTCCTCTCCTTCTGCGAGAGGAAGCGAGGGGGAGAAAGGGGAGGGAGGGAGAGGAGAGGAGGAGAGAAGGAGGGGGAGGGGGGCAGCAGGAGGGAGGGAGGAGGGAAAATGCTGAAGTCTTGAAGGGTACACTCACTTCTTTCTTAGGTTTCCCATGGCAACCGAATATACCACAAATGAATATCAGTGTGAGAGAGAGGGAGGAGGCAGAGAGAAGGGAGGGATGGAGGGAGAGGGAGGCTGGGAGGCGGGGGCAGAAAGATGACGGAGCGACAGAAATGCAAGGCTGGGTCCCCATCCTATCCCCTCGGGTTGGGAGGGAAGGGGAGGGAAGGGGCCAGGGGCCACAGGACATCTTTCCATCCCTCCGTGCCTCCTGGACAGGAGGGGCAAGCAACAGATGGGAAGATGCTTCTGGGAGCCGAAGGGACCCCCCCCCCCCCACCACCCCACCCAACCCCAGCCCGTGTCCCCGCCTCCCTGCAGGGCCCCAGAGCCTGGAGGCTCTTCCCAAGCCACAGTCCCAGCCGGACGCCCCACTCGTCATGGACACACACACAGCACAGCCAGGTGGGGCTGGCCCCCCCCCCCCCCCCCCGCCCGGGGGGCCCGGGGGCCCCCCCCCCCCACACACACACCCTCCCTCCTCACGTGTGCAACCACACCACCCTCCCGCCGGTCACCCCAACATCAACACAGCCTCCTCCTTCTGCAGCCGGAGCCCCATCCCCTCCGCTGCAGGGAGCGAGCGCCCCCACCCACCCCCTGCCCCGGCCTCACAGTTTTCATTCACAACTCCCAGCCCAGACTGGAACACGCCCTTCCCCCCAGGGCGCCCCCAGCCTGTGCCCTGCCAATAGGCACTCACACGCCCCAGGAGTAACGTACCTGCCTGACCTCCACCTGCACAGACGCACAGGCTTCCCGACAGACGAGCCTCGACCCAACCTTCCTCCCTCTGTGGGCGCACGTGCACACGCCTGTGCTCATTCTCTTCCTCTGGGGCCCCCCTCCCTGTCTGGCCCCCCACCCCACACCCCCAGCAGCCCAGATGGCACTTCCAGTCCTCCGGCACAGGCAGGGGGTCACACCCTGGCCCCCCCCCCCCCAGACTGCCATTCATAAACATATGCAGACCCACCCAGCGCAGGCAGCTGGCGGCTGCAGCCCAGAAACACACGCGGGCCCCGCGCTGCCTCAACTCGGTCGCCCCCACTCAAAGGCAGAGAACAAGGACGCACCAGCTGGCTTCTGGAAAGGGCTCCCAGGCCCAGGTCCCCGGGGCTGGGGGTAGGGGTGGGGGGGGGATACTTCCCTCTCACTCGACCCTGAGCCCAGTGGCCAGCAGAAAGGGGATGGCACCCCGTCCCGTCGCACACGCACCAGCACCCACAGGACAGCCAGACAGCAACTAACGCACCAGAGTCGCACATTCCCTCAGACCCGCGGGTGCGCACAGACCCGGATACAGGGGTGCCCACCCCGACACGCAGACCCACACGGGTGCCCCCACGCCTGGGGCCGCTGCCGCGACACCCACCCCCGACACACCTCTGGGAATGCACGGCCCTCCCCCTTCACCGGGGACAGCCCCGCACACACACGCAGGCTTCACCATACACACGCGGACAAACATGCCCACGGGCACAGGGGCCCCTACCCGGACTCACCGGCCAACGCAACGCACCAGGACCCAGACGCGCCCAGAAACACCTCCCCCGATGCCAGCGCGCACCGGCCCCGCCTGCACACCCGCGCTGCACGCCCTGGGCACTTCTCGGCGACGCCCCCATTCCATCCACGCCCACCTGACACCCCCTGGCCCACACATCGCTGGGTCCTGGCTCCCGCGGGCCTCCGCCCCCTTCCCTGCGCCCCCCCCCCCCAACGCCCGCACGAGACCTGCCGCCAGCCCCTGCCCGGAGCCCGCGGGTTTACGATCCGCACGCCGTGCCGAGCCCAGAGGCCGTGAAATTGGCTGCGAGCGTCAAGGGATGCGGCTGCAAATTCTAAGCACAGGGAAGTAAGGCAGAAACCGGGCGGGCTGAGGGCAGCGGGAGGCGGGCAGCGGGAGGCGGCGCGGGCGGGAGAGCGGGCGGCCCCGGGGGGAGGGGGGGGCGGGGGCTCCGTGCGCGCGCTCCCGGCCACCCCGCCCGGCCCGCCACGGAGCAGGTGCCCCGCGGGGGGCTGCGCCCCCCGGGGATGGGCACACCCCGCCGCCAGCCAGATCCGGACCTGCCTCGGCCAGGGCGCCCACCGGATGACCGGCCTGGGGCCCGCAGCTACGCAGCCAGGCTTTCGCCCTCCTCTGGCTTCTCTGCTCCCACCCGCACGCACGCCCGCCCGCCTGCCTCTGACCTCTGCAAGACCAAAGGCTGAGCTCCACCCGCGCCCCCACCCCCACCCCGCCTCCGAAACCAAAGGAAGGGAGAGGGAGGGCATCGCCCGTCCAGGACGCCGGGCAGGCCCTCTCCAGTCTCACTCCATCCCCAGCCGCACTGTCACGCCTTTACCAGCGAGGCGGCCTCGAACCCGGGACCGCGGACTCTGCCTCCGTTTCCTCCTGTGTGCAACAGGAGCGCTGCCGAGGGTCGTTCTGAGGACTGAACGAGGGCCACTGGACAAGCTCAGAGCAGCAGTCAGGGCGCATGGCAATCGTTAGTCAGTACTGGCCTGGCCTTGCTGCAGAGAAGGGGCCACCCTTCTCTGAGCTCAGGCTCCTTGAAAAATGCAGATGGCTTTGTTGCCTCCCCAGGGTGAGTGGGAAGAGTCTGGAAGACGCAGCCCCCTCAGCCGCCTTCCAACCGGCAAACGTGGGTGAATTAATATCCTGGAAGCACACTCACGAGGCAGGTTCCCCGGGTCCCCCCCCCCCTCCGTGGACCCTACTGAATCAAAATCTCCCCCGACGCGGCCCAAGATTCTGCATTTTCACAAAGGCACTCCGGGACCAACCGGGTAAGGCTCCCTTTCTTAGCCCAAAGTTTACCGTCCTGTGTAATTTGATCCTCAAACTACATTCCAGACTCATCTTCCCAAACTCCACTCCAGGCTTTCCGACCTCCAGACCTCGGCTCACGTGGTCTCTCCACCTGGCCTGCCCCCACCCAGAGGCCGGCTGGACCTCTTTCACAATCCTCCAGCCAAAATTAAACAAGATAATAGACCGTGTTTTGCCCTGTGCCTGGCACATAGCAGGTGCGCTATCCCGGGGATCCTGCACTGCCCTGAGCAGAAGAGGCTCCAGCCTCTTCCCCTCCCGCCTCCCAGGCTGCGGGAGCACCTGACCTTCAAGCCTGTCGTCCCAGCCCCCTCGGGGGAGGGTCACAGACACCCAAGAAACGCCTGGCACACAAGCCCTACTGTGTGCAGGCCCCACACTGGGCCCTTGGCTGATGCCCCACGCGTCCCCTCTCTCTTCCAGGACGGAAACTCATCTCTGTAGGTTCCTGCCTGAGCCCCAGACCCAGCAGCTATCCCTGAGTCAGATATGCTTGTGCGTGTGCGTGTGTGTGTGTGTGTATGCGTGCACGCGCGTGCGCTGAATGCAAAATGCACAGTCCAGCCTCAACAGCATATCGATAAGAGGAACTGTTCCACAAGTAATTTTTGAGGGCCTACAAGTCTCCCCCTGTGTGGAGCTGACAACATAGTAGGAGACAGACAAGAACCTAGCTAAACACGCAGAACCACGAACGCCCCGCATGCACACACACACACACACACACACACACACACACACACACACCAGGTAATGAGCAGCGCAGGAAGCAGGGAAGATGGGCCATGCTGACCCCACTGCCTGTGTCTCTCCCCCATCCAAAGAGAACTGCGGAGAGGACAAAGACAAGGCCAAGGAAGGAAAATGAGTCAGGCCTGAGTCTTGGGGCTGCGCCCAGAGCAACCTGGTCGGGAGGCCCTCAGAACTGTTCCCCACTTTCCCCTGGGAGAGGTGGGGACCCGTGTGCACATGCACATGCCGCGTCACACTCAGAGGCACACCTGTGCACAGGGATATGCACACGCCAAGATACGCCCTGCCCCCGCCCAGCCCCTCTGCACATCCCAGCTGGGGGGGGGGGGGGGGGGGGCAGGCAGCTCCCAGGCCCTTCCCATACCTTCGGGGGCCCCCCCCCCCCCCCATCCCCGGCCCAGCTCCAGAAACAGTTTCTATGTATTTCAGGGGGTGAACGTGGAAGCTGAAAGGAGAGAGAAAGATACACATACACACACACACACACACACACACATACACAGCCCAGGACCCACTCCAGAGAACCAGGAATGAATAAGGAAGACAGATGGGAAGGGGGAGGGAACTCATCTAATCGACACCTACTATGTGCCAGACACAATGCTCCACACTTGACATTCGCTTATGTAACCACGCTGGAAAAGTTAGGAAACCGGTATCATTATCCCCACTTTATATCGAGGAAGCGGGGCCTTCTGGAAGGGAACCTACTCGCCCAAGACACACACTGTTAAAAAGAGGCAGAATTTGGCCCCCGGGCCCCCTACTCGTTCCACAAGTGAGACGGAGGGAGATACAGGGGTCGAGGGGGACCAGTGCACGCTGCTGGCTTCGGGGTGTCACAGGTCACCCACCCTGAGGGGAGGAGCACGGGGGGCTTGTGGACCGGGCCTGAGACCCCAGACCCTTTCTGCCCCCTCAGGGCCTCTCTGGGGCCTTCCTGGGGGACTGTCTGCAGAGCAGAGGGGGAGGGGCTCTATTATTCCAGCCCCCGGACACCTCGGACTAATAAGGGCCGCCCGGAAATAATGGCAGTGACTCTGCCCCAGGTGCTAATTGAGCCCCGAGAAGCTTAATTTAATAGGGGATTGGACCAGGACAGCGGGAGGCAGAGGATTGAGTTAACCTTCTGGACTATTAATGCTGTCCCTGACGAGGCCTGACTCGCTAAGGAAGGAGGCTCCAGCTTCCAGGCCATCCTGCTCCCTGGCTTTCTGCTCTGCCCGGCAGACTGCGGGGTGCGGGCAGAGGATGGGCCTGGGCCCGGGAGGTGGGGGGGCACTGTAGCTGGCACGGGCGAGGGTAACGGCGATGGGCACCTCCTGGCCCTGCGCGCGGACGCCACACTCTCACGCTCGCTCACTGAGCCTGCGAGACGGCAGCCACTGCCTGGCAGGCACAGGGAGAGAGCGGCTGACCCCCCGTGTCACACACAGCCACTCAGCGCTCAGCGGAGGTGTCACTGGAACCAGTTCTGCTTCCAGAGCAGACACGCTGCAGACTTCAGGGGACAGGGAAGTCACACTGGGGAGCGGGCATGGCGCGTACCGGAGCAGGCTCAGAATGGCTCGGCCAGAAGCACCCATTTCTGTCACCCCGCCTATCTCGGAACAATCAAGACCGGACTAGGAATCCAGAAGCAGCCTCTACAGGGGACCCCTCGGCCCGGGCATTCTCCACCCCCACTGCGCAGAGCCCCCGTCCCTCCATAAAAGATGAGAGCGCCCCGCGGGAAGGGACCTGCCACCCCAGCCTGTCTCCCTGCACGTGCACCGGCGGAGCTGGAGTAGCGAGATGGGGGCAAACTCTCGCCAAGGACTCAATCACCAGCCAGCTTACTCTCCCCTTCAGGCCTCCGGGTGCTCATCGGTCATCTGTCAAGTGTCCCCACGAGAGCAGCCGGCCTGCCAGCCCCACAGGACTGCCGTGAGGATCCAAGAAGAGAAAAAAGAAGTTCTCTACGAAGTTAGACTTGAATGGAGACAGGAGCACCGGCCCCGAGCTGGTGGAGCGGGAGGCCAGGGGACTTGGTGTGCCGAGCCCCCACTCTGTGCCAGGCCCCCCGCCCCCCAGAGGCCCACCGGTGTCCTGTGGCACCCCTTACCTTTCTAGCCACCCCCGCCCCAGGTGACAGATGAGAAACTGAGGCCCAGAGGGGCGACAGGAATGCCTAAATCAGAAAACACAGAGCAGCCCCATGGGCCTGGAAATAGCAGGCGCTGTCCCCCTGGCTGTGTTGTCACATGCATTTGCACACACACCCTGGCTCTGTGACCTGGCTGGGGCTGACAGAGAACAGGGCCTGCGGGGGCAGGGGAAGAGGCATCCCATATGAAATGGTGGGGGGGGGGGGGGGCGGGGGCGATGCCTCTGTGAGGGGAGGGCACCTTAAGGAAAGGGGCCCCACACCCACTTGGGGCACCTGGGAAGGGACAGCTCACTCAGAGACTCTATTCCCCTCCCCTTGTCACCCCCTACAACACAAGGGACATAACCACATTCAGCCACACACCCTCCCGCTGACATCACACAGTCCGGCTGCCGGGGGTGACCCCTCATGCTGCTGTCCCAGTGACGTCACTGGCAGTCTGGAACTGACGTCACACCCACAGGCCCGTGCTGACGTCACACACACTTCTATCTGACACCCCCCCCCCCCCTTCGATCACTCCTCTTTGTTCCTGCCCAGGGGCAGATGGCCCAGGGGACCTCGCCCACGTACCCAGCTCCAGGGTCACGGCTCGCTCCGGACAGACGCCTACAGACAGTGCGTGTGTGTGTGTGTGTGTGTGTGTGAGTGTGCATGTACATTCCTCGTAGGAATCCCACGTATTTGCACACATGTGCAGGCCCACATGCCCTACGGATGGCCTAGACGCAGCATGTCCCACAGGTGCCCACAGGCCACGGGAACAGGTGCGTGAGCCATGCACACACACGTACACAAGCAAATCCTCCCAGCACCCCCCCCCAAGATGCGGCTCCCCACATGAAAATGTCCCCCAGTAACTAAACCAGGCAGCCCAGGGGCTGGCAGCTTCCACCACATTCCTCCAGGTGTTGCTAGCAGCCCCCTCCTCACCCCCCCCCCCCAGCTTTCCTCCTCCAACAACCTGGCCTGCTGACAGCGACAGCCGCAGCCCGGACACACACACACACACACACACACACACACACACAC